TTCAGCTAGCGAAGTATGATCTAAGCCTCATCGAGCAACTGCGTGATGTTTGAATGAATAGAGAAGCTCATAAAAATTCTGTTTCCTAGTTCAAGCAGCAATCATCTTCACTGTCTTCTGGGCATGTCTGAAAGGCTCAGCCATATCTGAGTTTCAGAAGAAAAAGTCGGCCAAGTGCTGTGATGGCTTGACACAGCCCCTCACTGTTTGCTCCTTTGTGTCATTAATTCCAGCTTAACCAGTGCCCTGGATTCAGTGCGTGCTACAAAGAGAAAGAGCCAAGTTTCTCCTCTGACCTAGATGAAGAACAGCTATTTTCAGGTTGCTAAGTTGCACTTCTCCTGTGTTCTGCATTATGCAAGGTAGACCTGTTGACTCTGCCTTTTATCGCTACCTGGCATGATACCTAGAAGCATACTCATGGGCTGAGATCACATCTGGACTAGAGATTGAAAAAAAAAAGGAAAAAAGAAATGCCAGTGTTCCTGTTGATTTACCTAACTGCTGAGTAACAGAGTCGGGCTCCCTCTGTCTGTTGCTGTGCTGGCTCTGCGTGGTACCTTCACTTACCATGAGTCCTTGATGGCGGTTCAGAGACTTAGATTCAACACGCAGTGCAAAGCAAGGTGCTGGGATAACACAGCTGCAGGGCAGGCTGTTAGCAACAGAGCTTGCTAATGCCTTGGGCTGACAGCAGCAAGTCTGAAAGAAAGTATAGCAGCCAAATTGAGCCTTAGGCAGCTTCACAAAAACCTCCTGGATCAGCGGCATGCATAGAAAGATGCCCAAATTGTGGTGCTTTGGAAGAAGACAGGTACACCCAGACCAGGCGATGTTTGAGAACGTGCGTGCACCTTCCTTCGTTTGGCAGTTAGAGAGCTTGCACTCTGACAAAGAATGCAGCTAGCAAGTTTATGCAGCGAATGCTCTTTCTGGGTCTGCCACTTTGACAAATGTATTTAAAATCTAACTCAGCCTAGTGACCACATTCCCCCATTCCCTGCTCTCAAGGGAGACCAGAGCACAGAGATAACGCAGGGTCAGCTTGCACATTTTGCTGGTTCATTGGTTACACATTTCTAAGAGCATGACTGACTCCTCTCCCCAGCTGCCAAGTTGTTGCAAGCATAATAAATGCTAAAATGGTTACTAGCTGAGTTTAAGTGAACTTGTCTTTCTTTGGGTAGAATGATTAAGGAACCCCACCACGATACTGTTGGCAAAAATATTCTCACAGATGCTAGCACAGCACTGCAAAGAAAGCCACACAGATAGTTGGAGCAAGCTGGAAAGAATGCACTTTTCATCACAATGCTGGAAATGGTTGTGCTGTTCTCTCCCATGTGCTCTCTTCATATAACCCCTTGTTTGGGAGCCTAATGAGCTGCTTGTATAAACAAAACAATAATTTCCAGTAGTTCTAACACTCAACAGCCTCAAAATAGTCAATGAACATTAGCTAGTTAATAAGCAATCTGCCCCCTGAAGTCAAGGAAGTACGTAAGTTGTGACAGCAAGGAGAGCTGAGGAAGAGAGACTGAGAAAGAAGCAAAGCTGCAGCAGTGGTGGAAATAGGAGCAGAGTCTGACCCAGCTGCTAGGACAGCCCTCACAAACCATGTGCTTCACATATTATCAAGGTATTTATTTGGGGCAGAGTAGTGCACAACCTGGTAACGAACAGGGCTGAGGATACGCAAGAAGATTGAATGTATGCTTTATTGTATGTTTAAACTGACAATGGATTTTTTTAATCAAAGATTAAAAGTACGCCATTGAAGCATGCATAATGTTATAAGCATATGTATCTTCAAAAAGAAAGACAAAAAAGGCTTCGCAGCTGCAGGAGAGAAACAGAATTCAGAGAATTAATGAGTTCCCCAGAATTAATATCTTAATGTTGGGCATTATCTTTTCAATTGTCTTGAGACTTCACAAAAAAGCAGAAATGAATGCACTGGTGGTTCTACATTTAGAAGTGCAACAGAAAAGCTGCAGTAGTGAGCACAGAGACCAGGAGAGCCACAGCAAGGCATATTTCAGGAACCAGTATGTCTATAGGTCAGCTCTAATTACTAGAGACAGAGCAGAGCTGTATGATAGCTGCTGGGACTCCTGCATACTCCAGGGATGCTCTTTCCACCCTGGACCTGTCAGTGCCCCGTGCCCCCTCCTCATTCCAGTATACCTCCAGTTTGTTCTCATCTCTTGAGTTTTGCCAAGAAAGTGAGGTCACCACCAAAGGCGATGCCTTTCCCCTCCTTGCAGTTTAGCAGATGTGGGCTGCAGACCCCAGAGCACCTATTGGGCACTCAGCCGTGACAAACCACATCTTCCCAAGCTTGCTGCTTCTGGAGCAATGGGATGCCTCGAGGTTGCCAGCCACCCTGCAGTCATGCTTAAACCTACATAAACTTTCTGGTAAAGCTAGATGAGTTTAATATAAGATGTATTAAATTAGTTATTTGGCAACAGAGACCAACCAGCATCACCCCGATGGCTACTTTCCCTCTGACTGGGTCTCAGGCTGAGTCCTGTACCCTGGGCAGCAGCAGCACCTCTTGACCAGCTTGTCCCAGCACAGGCCACACAGCTTCTCGAGATGGGGGGCAATCCCTTACACAAGCCACGGTCAAGCTTTGCTTCCCCTGCAGAAGAGCTGAGACTTGGGGAAAAGATCTCCATTAATTTTCCCATTTTTGGTAATTTTTCCATAGGCACGTGGGTTTGCTGAAAGCTCCTGTTCCATGAGTCATCTCAACTCATGTACCCGGTGTGATACAGCTTCGCTCCAGGCAGAGACCTTCGAAATTCTCATGGGCCTTCAGACTCACAGCCCACACTGTGGAAGCACTGGAAGAAATCTCTGCCTCAGCAGGTCCAGCCATCATCCCACCCTCGGTATCTTCTTCCTGCCCCCATGCAAACCCTTGAGTTGTGCCAGCACGACTGTGAAAGGCACACAAGTATTTTGATGTGAGTTTTGCTTTTTAAAAAGAAAAAAAGGTTTAACACATGAGCCCAGCAGCAGCCTGGTTCACAGCATGCACCGCAAGCAGCTGTGTTGGCACAGCAGAGAGAATGGTGTAGCATGGCAGGAGCTGCTCAAGCCCATCCTCCTGCAGAGCACCCATGCTGTGGGCAGCTGGCTCAGACAGGCCAGGAGCAACCCTCTGAGCCAACACAGCACAAAACGTAATCGTCAGCTTGACAGGGAAACAAGACTGTTTTTCTTCAAACACAGCTCATATAGTCAGTGTTGATTGAAACTGCTGTAGAAAAACACGCAGCAGCCCCCTAAGGAGCTGCTCTTGCTTTCCAAGACAGCAGCTTGGAAGGTTTGGTTTATGGTGCAGGTCAGCACTTCAGCACCATTTCACCCTCCAGATCCCTAGCCAAAAGTTGCCATGTTTACACAGATAGCAATGGCTGATCTTATAGCTGCCCTCAAAACAACATTTGTCTACTATCCACATTATAAATCACTTGTCTCCAGTGCCTATAGCAGCCAGTTATACTGAGACTGACCTGATAGCAACACTCTTCTCTCTTTGTGTTCTCATAGCATGGCCTCTAGGAGGTGTTTGCAGCTTATGCACACGCTAGAGACTTCACATACAGAAAGTCCTCTGCTGCAGTCCCACACCACCTCATTTCTGGCTTCTTGCCCTTTGTTTAAATGCCCCTAGCCTGCCTATACAAAGAGGTGAACTCTGCAGCCCATTCTTCAAAAGGTCCCAATGCTCACAAGACCAGAAAACCAGGGAGATATTTGCGTTATGCTAGAAAAGCAGCGGCATAGCATGGATTACTATGGGACAGATATGGGAAATGGAGGCTCCCAAACCTTGGGCTGGTAGGGTCAAGTCTTGAGGCAGTACTCTAAATAGCTTTTTTACCTGGCTGGATTAATATATCTGAAGATGGTGGACATTAGGGCCTTCCTGTTCTGTTATGAATAGAGTAATTCAAACACCTAATAGGGCAGTTACAAGGCTCTGAAATTTCAGTGGCATCCTGCTGGTGAAGCTGTTGAACAAAATCTTCTGCAGCACAGCAAACAGATGAATGCTAATGTGTGTCCACTGTAATGTTGCAATCCAGAATGCAAATCTAACAGTGCTTAGGTAGTCTTTCAAGCTGCATAGGTGAAAGACAAGAGTTTTGGAAGGTCCTGGAAAAGGCCACTTCCTGGATTGCCTTTTAACGCACAGGTTTCCTTGATCTGGATCCTAATGGAACAAGCCTCTAAGCAGCTAAGGAGATTATCTGTACCAGAGAGGCAGAAATTGTATTTGAATTCATTCTTAAGAAGAGTTTCTAGAAGATCTTTAAGGCTCAAGCACTGACAAGGTTTATATATTGTCTGTAGAAGACTCCTTGGATTGCACTCCATCAATGCAGAAACTCAGAGGACAACTCCAACACCATCTTTGGACCAAGGTGTGTGCAGTGACAGTCTCAAGTTACAACAGAGGTAGGGCTGTGCTGTATCCAAATGTTAGAGAAGATAATTCAATCAGCTTTACCATCATTATAAGGCAGTCCAGTTAAATTTCTCAGGTGCACCTACTTATCCTGAATATTTAACTGTGCCCATGATGAGGTCTGAAGTGATCAGATGAAGCAGACTTCTACACATACTGAATAAGGAGATTCCAGCCATGCACATGGAGACACAAGCTTTAAAGACCATAGATCAGGTTTCCTTAGATAACTGCACTGCTAAAGAAAAACCTGTTTGGTGCAACAAATATTTTCTAGAATTAAGACAGACATAGAAGTAATCTATTGACTTTTGCTTTTGAAGGACACAGCTAGGGAAACCTAACTAGCAACCCTGTCTTTAGCAGCTTTTCAGACATGTGCACAGGTATACACATGAAATTAGACCAAAAATGCCAACCAGCATAAAAAAAAAAAAAACCACCAACCAAAAAACTCTGAGCTGTTGAGAAAGCCAGCATTAACACCACCACAAGGTCAGGAGCCTGGTGGCAGCTAGAACTCCTGTGACTGGACATATTTATGGGGCGGTTTAAGAGAGATGGTCTTCTTAGGAAGAAGTTCAGGAAGAACATTAGGTAACACCCCTCCTTGAGCAATGGTCACGCAGGAGAAGAGCTTGTTCAGCTCCTCATCGTTTCTCACAGCTAGCTGGATGTGCCTGGGCAGGATCCTGGCTTTCTTGTTTTCCCGTGCAGCGTTCCCTGCCAGCTCCAGGATCTCCGCGCTCAGGTACTCCAGCACCGCAGCCAGGTAGATGGCAGCGCCAGGACCGATCCTGTCAGCGTAGTTCCCTCCTTTAAGGAGCCTGTAGACACGACCCACAGGGAACTGCAGACCAGCCTTGGCTGATTTGGTTTTCTTTGGCACAAGGAAGAGCTCTGTGGGTTTTTTGCCACGTTCAGACATTCTAGCATCAATCTAGTATAAAAAGAGAATGAATTAAAAAAACAAAACAAACAGAAACTGAGCATTTAAGTCCTTTCTTCGTCCTCATTTCACTGCCCTTCTTATTCCCTTACAAGTCAGGTTTTTTTTCCCCTCAAAGTTTGCTAGTTGTTCATACTTTTGTCTGAAGGAGCAGATGGGTCAGGCTACTGCTCCAGGAGAGTCTGACAAGTTTCCAGCCAAGAGGCATCTACGAGCTCAGTCAGATCAGCAGGCTAGCCATCTGCCAGATCTCCAAAACTTTTCAAAAGAGTAAGGTAGAACTTAGGAGCAAAGTCTTCTGATCCCATATCAAAGAAGGACTGCTGTTAAGGAGAAAGGTTAAGCAAACTAGGCTTCAAGTGTTCAGAAACCCTGCAGGGAAGCTTCATTGAACTTACCCCGATAAGAACCTAAGCAGTTTCTGCAATGATGACCTTGTGAGAACCAGAGCTAGAAATTCATATCTTTGTCTGAAGTAAAAATACCAAAGAACTTTGTCTGCTGGAAACAACTTCAAATGGATCTTGTCTCCCAGAGGTGAGGGAAATTATTGCTGCAAGATAACAGACCACAATCAGGAACAAGACAAGCCTTGTTTTACATCAGACACTGAAATTGCTCAGCTCAGCACACTGTACATCAGGCTACTACAAATGCACAAGTACCATCTTCTTGTATGGCACTGCATCCATTTTAACAAGCCCCATCACTTATTACTGACATAAAGTCTCTGGTGCTGAATAGTACCAATCACTCTTCAATGCATAACACAAAGCAACTGGAAAACAAACACAGGAAGATTCTACTCTTGCATATAGAATTGTTCTCAAGTATTAATCATTAGTTGTTTCTAAGTAATGAGAAGCTCTACCCAGATGTGGGGAGGAACTAAATCAGATATCAAACTGAAGTGCTTAAAAGTACAATAAAAAGTCATTTGAGGAGATTTTTGTGGGCCTTAGAAAGATAAGCTTTTAAAAACAGCCTACACAAGCAAATAAATTTAAAAAATTAAAAGCCCCCTTAAGTAGCCTTATACCAAACACAGAACTTGCAAAACCATTATTTCACTCAGGAGTTTATCTAACACAAAGAAAGTATGCTGTCATTTCTTAAGGACAAAAATCTCACCTGAAGACCTTATCAACTTAGCCTCTTTTCCAACAATACCACTACCCAAATCCCCCAAAGCATAATATCTAGCAAGAGCTGCCCCCTTTTAAACTCTACAGTGGTAGCCATATCATTACCAGATCTTGCATCGTTTAATGCCACCTGGGTGAGCAATGATTCAGCCACTCAAAATAAAAAACAATCAAGGTCCCAACACAAGAGCAACTCAGTACAGTCAATACACCTGAGAGCATGAGAATTTGTCACTACTCCTTGCAGAGCTGTTTAGCACCTTGTTAGCTGATCTCCTCTGGAAACAAGCCTAATATTTACTGCCTGAGAGAACTGCAGGATCTCTGATTGGCAGTTACTTTATTACAGCTGGAAGGGAGCACACCTCACCTTGCTGCATTCATCAAGAACTAAACCCAGCAACCTGCACCGCTGCTCTGTGTGCTGCCAGCAGTGGCCGAGCTGCTTTGTGACCACGCTGCAGAGCCTGGGAAAGGTCAGGACCTCTGACATTGGGTTCTCTCTCTTCTAGCACTTGTCCCTGTCTGTCACACCGTCCAGCTTTTTCCAAAGTCATGCATAGCTGTGTTGCAAGGCATACTATGTCCTTTCTACGGCCAAGGGTGTGGTGACAATTGAATAATTTTTTTCTTCAATACATGAGTGCTGGAAAGTTGAGCCCTGGCCCAGCAGAAACTTTTGCTGAGTAGCTGGGTTAGGAGACACCTGCCCTCTGTTACTGTGAAGCTGGAGGGGTGAGTTTTCAGATCACTGTGCTATCTGGTTAATTTACAAATGGGCTGAACTATTAGCTAGAAGAAAGCAAACAAGGTTGTTCTTTATCAAAGAAATACTTAAAAAACTGACTTTTGAATTGGACCAGTATTTCACCACAAACTCTGTCTTTGGATATAAGTAGAGGTAGGGCCACACAGCTCACTCAGTGTCTTCTATCATACGGAAAATGGCAGGTGAAGGCATTTCTAGAAGCTACTTGAGCACTGGCCGTGCCTTGCAGGGTCTGTTTGGTGTGGTGCAGAGCAGGCTCACAGGAGCAGCTTGCGTCCAGGAGCAGCATGATGGCTGACACACAGTTCTCCAGATTAGCAAAGGGTGCTGTAAACTCCATGCTTAAAACTGCACAAAATTAGTACCTTGCTTGAGTCTTCTACCATTACTGCAAACCTTTAGATTTTTGCTTGGTCCAAGAAATAATCATTCCCAAGACTACTTTCCCTTGCCATAGTCAAATGGAGGAAATAATTTGACTTTCATGTGTTCATTTATGTACCTCCTTTAAAGGTTTTATTTTTTTTCCCCTCCATTTCCAGGTGTAAACACTCAGCACAAGGCTAGTTTCATATAGCACGTCTTTACTACATGCACAAAGCTTAAGATCTACTCTCAGACATTTTTACTTCTCATTGCTACAGCATCCTCCACTTTTTCTCACTTCACTGGGTTAATTGCAGGCCAGCCAAGATCTTATCAAATTGCTCTGGAAAACCAGGCAGCATACAATGACTGTTCCAGCTGCCTACCGCCCTGAAATCACAGTGTCCGCTCAGTCAGGTATCCTCTCTTCCCATATCTGTGTAAGCACAGCTTGGAGTGAGTCATTAACTCAGCTGCGTACAGCTCTGACGTCTGTCAGCATCCTAAAACCTGGCCAGTAGGCTCTGACACCCTCATGCCTTGAGGGAGGCAAAGGAGCTAGGCCAAACTCAACAGGACAGGCAGATCGTGTTCAAATAAAAAGTTCATGCTCCAGCTACAGTTTAGGAAGCTGGTCCTAACCAGCTCTTCTCTGTGTGAGATGCTACAAAATCTGTGAGATACTGCCTCAGGGGCAGACTGATCCTAATGCAGCTGCAGCAGATCCCTGGTTTCCAGTTGCACAGCAAGCCTCAGCACCCACTATGAACAGAGAAACCCTGGGCAAAGACTCTCAATTACTTGGTCAGCAAAGGCATAGGGGCTTGTTTGGATACGGAGACTTTTGTTTTTCTGCACTGATAGAGAGAAGCAAGACAGTCACCTCTACCAACAGCACAAATATTGCACCAGATTTTAAATAAACTACCTATGGTTGTCATGACAAGACAGAGGGGATAGCAGTTTAGTGTCATGTTGGAGCAGTCTAAAGAGAGGTAGCTGTTCACTACAGCTTTATGAGCAATAAGAATTTAAAGCACAGGGTTACTAACATCTAAAGCAGAGTTAAACAACCTCTGAGGCACTGAACTAATTGCACTACGAATCTGTGATGAAGGAAATGTTCCCATGAATGGCAGTGTGTGTCTTGGCTCCTCTGCCTCCTCCACAACAGTTACCTGTAACAAGTTTTCAAAAGCAAATATGTACTTCCCTTTTTTAAAAGTTATTTGGGTGGTATGCTAGACTTTTTTTTGACATTTTCTGTGTTCCTCCACCCCTGGGAGGGGAGCTGAGAAAAGAAAGAACAGTGTTGCATTCTAGGAACTTTATTACAAGCTTTAAAAAGGCATTAAAATTAGCAGGAAAAATACGTGACAAAGAAGCAAATACATACAAATTAGTGCAACTGAGTCCCATCTTCCATAACTGCACAGACCAGACCAGGAAAAGCAAGTTTCACTGGATACCACCTTGTTCCTGAGGAAGAACAGCATCTCCGACTGTTTTCTTGGGAAGGAGCTGGGAAAGGATATTTGGCATAACCCCTCCTTGAGCAATGGTCACACAGGAGAAGAGCTTGTTCAGCTCCTCATCGTTTCTCACAGCTAGCTGGATGTGCCTGGGCAGGATCCTGGCTTTCTTGTTTTCCCGTGCAGCGTTCCCTGCCAGCTCCAGGATCTCCGCGCTCAGGTACTCCAGCACCGCAGCCAGGTAGATGGCAGCGCCAGGACCGATCCTGTCAGCGTAGTTCCCTCCTTTAAGGAGCCTGTAGACACGACCCACAGGGAACTGCAGACCAGCCTTGGCTGATTTGGTTTTCTTCAGTGCAGCTCCAGATTTGCCAGCCACTGTGTGTTTCTTTCCACGGCCAGACATTCTGATGAGTGAGGAGACACAAAGGATTGGAGATCTTCAAATTACCCGGGTTACCATAATTACCCAAATTACCTTGGGCTACAGCTAACCGATAGCAAGAGGAGACAACAGCAAGGTGAGTTACACTTTCTGCTCTTCCACATCAAGAAGAAAGCTTGTTTTTTTCTTGAGGAAAGAGAGCCACACACCACAGTTCATTAATAGCAGAGCTAAGATTTTAACTACTACTACCACCCTTTTACAGCCTACCTTTTAGGAGAGAGGTCTCGTTGTAAAACCACAGTGGTCTGACAACCTGTCAAGAAAGGCTTATTGAAGTAGACATGAAGAGCTCAAAAGAAGAGACGCTTTTCCCTGCTACTTGGAACGTATTTGGGATTGAGGCACAGTGGGTCTTCTTCAATAACATTTTCTTAAACACCATAGCTGTTACCTCAAAGCTAACATGAGGCCAAGCCTGCCTCTTCTTCCAAGAGGAATCTGTATTCTAGCTTCTTCCATTATCAGGTTAGATCTTTCTTTCATTTTAAATCTAACAATTGATAAATTCCTGCAGCCCACAGCATCTTATACCCAAAATACTGCAAGAGGTTTTCATAGAGAGTTCTAAATTAATTCCCCAAGGGATATTCTCTGGCTGCTATGAGAACACTGGAAGTGTTGTGCACCAAGAAAAGGAAGAATTAACTTGGACAGCACAATGCAGACTGAAGAATAGAAATTACCGCCTATTTACTCAAGATTAAGGAAATTCAGTCCAGTTAGAGTACTCTTACAATTGGAGTGACAAAAATACTCATTTAAATAACATTTCTAATCTATGAGTAAATAGGACAGTTAGCTTCCAGCACAGCTGCTTGCAATATACAAGAACATCCATCACTAGATTACCATGTGGGGTTTTTGTGTTGTTTTTACAGAGAGATTTAAATATTTAAGAAAAATCAGAATAAGTTTTGAGAGGGAGGAACAAAAAAATCCCAGCCCACAATAAAATCCAAGAAACCAAGCCATAAGTCCTTATCCCTATTACCAGATATTAATTTTCATATTCTCATTAATCACATTACAGACATACTGTGCTACAAATGCTGCTAACTTACAAAATAACATAAAGTCCACCATAACCCCAAATCTTCGCTACGTATTATAAATAAAAAATATATCCCGTTACCTTCAAAAATTCTTATTTTAGCCTAGTCTGTACTTTGCTATAGCCTGCACTCAAAGGCAAACAAACCACATAACATCATTCCCCCTACCCTAGGGGCAGAACCTTTTTATCATCAACTTTTTCTCCTCATCAGTGGGTCACCTGGACAATTAATGAGTCATTCTCACATGTGGTTCATCTTTCTTCTAACCCCTGATTTGGTGAAAAGGAAGAAATACGTTATAGATGTCCAAAAGCAAATTCTCTGGGGAGGGTGGGGGGAGAAGCCAGGCTGTCTCCAAGGGCTGAGCCATAGCTATATTTCAGTCTCACTGTGATACTGCCAGCTCTCACCCACTCTGGCTGGAGTATTTCTGTCTGTACACCATGTGTAGAAACAGTCCTCTCTTTCCTGCTCAAGCTTGATAAAAAAAGTACACATTTCCCCTAGAAATGTGCTTTATAAATACGATGTATTTTTAGTTGGGTGGGAGGAGGGAAACTGTGTATTGCTTTATGTGTGTCCTGGGCAGAGAGAGTTATGCTTCGTTCACATTGTGTCGGAGCCCCACCAAGTGATGTGATGGGACTGCTCCTAAGATTTGGGCTTCTGCCCCCTCTTCTGGTAACCCTCTGCACCAGATGGGGCTCAGGGTTTACTGTGGGAACCGAGGGGTTCGGGTGCCAAAGGTCCCTGGCTAGTTCCTCTCAGTTCACATGGGCAAAAATCTCACCTAATGCAAATGAATATTTTTGAGCACCTTTTTAAAAAAATGAGTGCACGCTCTCTGCTCATGCTCTTTCTGTGTTTGTTTTCTGCTGTTCAAAACAGGTTCCAACCAGCAACATGCAAGAGCCACGGGTGTGAATGGTATTTCAGCCACAGAAGATGACTGCTAAAGCAGCAGGTCCTCCTGAAAGCCCAGGCTCTGACAAAACATTTGTACAGCAACACCATCACCGACAGCTAAGCCTTCAGTTCTGCATGCCAGGTACTAAGCTCGGGTCAGAGCCAAAAGACTTTGGAGCACCTGCAGAAGACTCCAAAATTGTGATCCCGAAAACTTTAGCTGACATGCTGCCCTGCTGGAAGGCTCTGTAGCCCTTTACTTTCTGAATTAAAGTTCTCCTGTCATCTATATTTGTGGCTCCATCTATCACTCAGGCAGCCACTTTTCCCACAAGGATGAGCGTTTAGTCCAAGCTGGGTGAGGCTGAGTCTTCTTCCACCGCAGGGCCCTGGGACACGGGTATGGGGCACCCTCCACGCATCCAAATACTCACCATAAGGACCGATGTCCCCTCAAAGCGCAGCTATCCTTTTCCTTTAATTCAGAGGCAGAAAAGGTGGCTGTGCCTTCCCTTCAGTAAACCAGACTTAGCACAGGGTAAGTGCCCCAGCACGCTTCAGGATACGTGGGTGTTAACGGGACGCCCATGATGTCATAACGTGTTACAACCGGGCCTCTGAATTTCCATTTCGGGCCCTTGGCGGAGCGGAGACACGGTCGTTTCTCCGTACGCCTGGAACAAACACACTCTTAGGGCTGCTGGCAGGTTGTGTGGGGGGGGGTTTCTGGGGGCTCAGAGCTGGGCTCCCCCTTTCTGGGCCGGCGTGCTGACCATCGGGCTAGAGCATAAAAGGAGGGGGAGGTGGGAGCGGGTCTCTTCCCCCGTCTCCTCTGCTGTGTGTCTTTGAGAAAAAAGCGCAAGGTCTGCTCAATTCTTTGAAAGGGCAGAGGTGCCCATTTTTAGGGAATGGGGTGTTGATCCCAAATGGATTGGGGTCGCCATACTCAACCCACTCCTCAGTGTTTGGCAAGTGGTGTTTTAAGACAGACTCAAATATAAAAGAAAAAAATAAAAAATAAAAACCAAATTCCTGTAATGCTAATTGGCTATGGCCCAATCCCAACAATATTTGAAGTACTGATAATTATGTCTGATACGAAAATATAGGTTCGATTTTTTTTTTTTTTTTTTTTTTGACAGAACAGGGAAAGAAAAATGAGGAGAGAAGCCAGTGGAGAAATAAAGCAGGATATGAAATACAAACAGACAAAAAGAGACTCAATGAAGAGGAAAGGGAAGAGTTACAGAGAAAAACTAAGGTCAAGGAGAGCCCCAAAACTCACCAACTGTATTTGGATGCTCCTAGGGAAGTGCTCCCTATGGCTGACAATTTTCTATGATGGCGCTCAGTTTGGTTTATGCATTCAGGTTTACGGTAGCTCCAGGACGCTGGCTGGCGAGCGTGAGGAGCTGAGGCCATGCCCAGCTCAGCAGCTCCCTGCCTGGTGGGGATCCCACATGCCATGGCCACGCTGCTTCCCCTGCGTGCCCTGCAGAGCCTCGGTGCCCAAGGACGAGCCACCCGGGGCTGGGCAGGAGGAGAGGGGCTCACAGCTCTGCCGCCACATCACAAGAATGCCTGCGAACTCATTGTAGCAGGGCTGACCCGCAGAAAATGCACTTTCTTTTCCTGCCTCATTGCTTCAGAGGTGAGAAAGGAGCGCTGGAAAGTGCTAGGAAGTGGCTCCCTGTTTTTTTTTCTCTTCTGAAACAAGAGTTTCAGAATACGCTACATGTTTTTCAATCTGATATCAAATTCCTTGTTTTGCTCTCCACTGTGTAACTTTCCCAGGGTGCGTTTAGCAGGCTGCTTTCAGAGGACATGATTTTGTGCCCCTTGCTGTGCTGCTGAAACAACGATAAAAGGGGCAAGGCACGAGCAGAGCTGCACTGCAGAGCTGGCTGGGCTGCGATGGTGAGGATATAGCCTGGGGAGGGGGACAGGTTTCTTAGGTTGTGCCGGCTGCGAGGCTGTGCCACCTGAAAGCCAGGCAGGAATTCCTCTGGCCTCCATGACTTACATCCTGCATCGTTTCCGAGCTGATGTTGGTTTGAGGGGTATGAGGAGAGGGTAGGGGCATCTCTCCGGAGGAATGGTACTTGGGTTAAAGCTCTGCTGAGACGGGCTTGGGGCAGGGCTGCAGCTCACACGGAGCCCCGCCGGGGTCGTGGAGACGCATGACTTATGTGACCAACTTTGGCGTGAAACCCTCCAGAAGCACCCGTGGGGTGGCAGGCAGGGACAGCCGCTTGCAGGGACAGCCGCTTGCAGGGACAGCTGCTTGCAGGGACAGCTGCTTGCAGGCCCGGGGACGCCCTGGCACCCACCACAGCTGCCTGCAGGAGGGACTGGTGCCCATCAGCCCTGGGGTGCTCCGTGGGGCACCCACACCTTTCCGCCTGCAGACGGGGGACGGGGAGCAGCGAAGCCCTGGCAGGGGGAGGCCGGACAGTTTCTAAATCCCGGTGCTTTTCACAGTGTGCATCCCGCGGCTCCCTGCCCGGGACACGAAGCGGGATCCCCGTTAGGAGCAGGGGCCGGACCTTTTAAAAACTGGCACCGTGGCGGTGATGGGAAACGCCGACGGTGAGGGAGAAGAAGAGGGAAGCAAAAACCTCACAGTAAGAGTCGACACCCGTGAACTGGCCCGGCGGCGGCCGCGGGCAGCGGGACGGGCCTTATTAGGCGGCACGGGAA